CAAGCGATGTTGAGGAGTTCACACTAGCCACCCCTCGAAGGCCTCAGATGCACCCTAGGTAGAGATAGGAAAGAGTCGGTCGCACATGCACACCAACTGAGACACTTAGTCCTGTTTGCACCGGGACATTCATTATCATATTTAATCTTGATCAGATGAGCATATAGAAATTCTCAAAGGATCAACTTCAGAATCTTGCATACCCAGATGAGAAGCAAGTTACCGGAGAAAAACATTCCAATCGGGATTTTGAGGGACATTTGGCAGCAGCAGATCACAAATGGCAACCTTTGCTGCCTCATTTAACACCATATCGGGATGGCAACAGCCTGCCACAAATATAGGCGAATCAACATGATAATGTCAATTAGCTCAAGATAATATTGCTCTGGATAGCAGAAGAAAAAGGCACAAAAAAAAAATTTCCCCGTTCATTTGGTCAACCAAAAGTAAGATGCCATAGTGTTATCGAACAATCAAGAAATATGCTTGAATCCTTCCAAATCATTTATCAAACCACCTTTGAGACCCAATTGCCACATAGCAGTTGGGAACGTGTCGCGGATAAGATGATGAGAGGCATTACTTGAAAGAGGAAGATCAGCCAATGTGGCTGGAACTGCACCGGGACTCAGCTGATTTGGGGCAACATCTGCCTGGCTGGCACTGGGAGGCTAGGTTTACCTTCAGAAGTTGGAGTTGCCTTGAAGCAAGCAATGTTGAGGAGTTCACACTAGCCACCCCTCGAAGGCCTCAGATGCACCCTAGGTAGAGATAGGAAAGAGTCAGCTGCACATGCACACCAGCTGAGACACTTAGTCCTGTTTGCACCGGGACATTCATTATCATATTTAATCTTGATCAAATGAGCATATAGAAATTCACAGGATCAACTTCAGAATCTTGCATACCCAGATGAGACGCAAGTTATCGGAGAAAAACATTCCAATCGGGATTTTGAGGGACATTTGGCAGCAGCAGACCACAAATGGCAACCTTTGCTGCCTCATTTAACACCATATCGGGCTGGCAACAGCCTGCCACAAATATAGGCGAATGAACATGATAATGTCAATTAGCACCGGGACTCAGCTGATTTGGGGCAACATCTGCCTGGCTGGCACTGGGAGGCACCAAGCTGTCCGCTTAATTGATGGCTCCGACAAGAGTGAACTTGTAGGGGGATGACGAGAAGTTATCAAGGGGTCATAGCCAGGCGGATGATCTGGCGACGACACGACTAGCTAGTGCAGCCTGAGAAGAGAAGTGCTCACCATGGCACAAGGAGATATTGGTGGTGCTTGTATAGGATTGTACTTTGAATCGGCATATATTATGGAAATAACATGACATGAAATGACGAACAGTTTCAGTAACAACCATAGGAAATCAATCCATAATCCTGCCATATTTAGATACAAGAAATGTTTAATTCAACAAAATTCACAATAATAATCATGGTTGTAACAAGGGGCACATCCATATATGATTCTGTTGGATCTTTTCTTTTTCTGGAACAAACTATAAAAAACAACCTGACTGTAGCAAGAGAAATTCTATCTACCAACTTGTCTGTTGAGACTGAAAAAGTGATACTACATCCACATGTCATCAGGCATTAGTGAAGGCATCAGCTAAAATTCAATTCAGGACCTTAACAGTCAACCAGACCAATGAGTTCAGTGTTCATCCACATTGTCTGCTAAATATAGTCAGTGGAGTACTCCAATAAGCCTGTCTTCAATCTAAGAATGGCAACTGTAAGGCTTGGCTAGTCATACTAGAGATAGCAAAGCATTTTATAGTGGTGTCTAGATTTGTGATCCAAGAGTACAACCTAATCAACTAATGATTGAGGCAATAGTAGAAAGCTCAAAATGGGCTTTTACAATCCTCTGGACTCTGGAGCTCTTCCAAGTTTATAACAATATATACTGATTCATGAGAGGAGTGTAAAAGAAAACTAATGATGCTCGCTTGGCACTCCTGAATAAAACTTCAAATTTATTTACATTTCCTTTGCCTCTACCATGACCTCCACAATCATAAATCCATTAACTTAACAAAAAAGAGTGAGAGATGCTTTAACAAAACTATTGCTGCTTTCTCCACACCTCTAAAATTGTCCTTCCGCTTTGACCTCTTTGAAACTTTGTGACAACCTCAGGAGAAGTAAGAATCTGAGAAACTCAAAAGAACCAGGCTTTCTTATCTATCACTAGCTCCTTGTCCTCAGAACAAATAGAATCCAAGAACTCACACCAATGCTGTGTAATATACTGAACGAGAACTCGAATTGGCCTACACTTACCAGCTCGTCCAGTGTCATCAGGGAAAAACAGGAGACCGCCGCCTTACATGAATTCCAAATCGTCTTTCCGCTGTTCCAGAACGACGGTGGCCAGAGCAAGTCTATATGCTGAAGACCTCATATTCCTGACTAAAACATATATCTCCTTTTTCCTCCGTTCCATGGGCATCTCTGAATAAGTCTATATGCTGTTGGCTGATCGCTGAATAAGAAAAAAGACTGATATTGCATGCAGTATCACAACAGTTGGGAAGCTTGTTCACTATATATGCAGAAATATTTGTATGTTTTAAATTGAGCATAGATGTTCAGGAAAGGATGTCCTCCAAACTGTCACGAACGAATCCAGTTATGACAAATCCGATAGGCCAACATTGACTCTCCCTGGAAAACTGGGTCCTCTGGCACTTGGATTTTCCATTCTTAGGGCAAACCTCTTTGAAGTACGATGCTACAGCTGATTGTGGCATTTATACACCACTTTCATCGTTTTCTAGCCTGCATCAGGCGCAGCATACAATTCTGAAGCATACGATAGAGAGAGAGAGATCCACAAGGTAAATTAATGGAATGGCAAGCAGAAATATGATGATGACAAAGAATGCTTCTATTGAGGCTTCACCTTGCAATGTTAACACCTCCATTTTTTCCCTCATCACTTACAAAAGATAATTTAAGCCCTCTAAAGGTGAGTTTTCGAAAAATATGAAAAGCAGCTTTGGATTCTCAAAGTGATTTAGTGAAAGCGGGTGGCTGCTTTGGACTGTGGGCTTTGAAAGGCACGGTTTGGGCTCAAAACTTCTAAAGAATTTCACCAAACACCAAACTTTTCAATCGAAAGACTTTGGGATTCCAGAACTGCATTTCAAAATTTTCACAAACTCACAACATGAGAAAGATGTACTTATATTCTATAAATACATCATCATCCGCCCAATTTTATATTCTCTGAAAACATGGAGAGAACGTGGCCCAGAAAAAACAGGGGAGATAACAAGAATGGATACAGCAAATAATGATGAGAGAGAATCCTACAAAAAGTATAAAAGCAAAATCATATCATAATAATATAAAATTGGGAAAAGTAACAACCTCGAAGCCATTGATGATATATCAGTGAAACGGGGTGCACACACAATTGCTCCTCCTTCAAATATATAGTCCTTTAAAGCAAGTGGTATAACCCTTAGGAAACATAAGTTGCGACAAGCCATGATTCTAGAGATCCCATTGGCCATCGTTCTCGTCCTTCAAAGCCTTCAGAAAACTCCAATCGCTGAGCATTTTGTCAGAGAATAAAAATGAACAGACACCATAGTTACCCTCAAGAAAGCAGGTCAGCTCCTTGTTTGTCCTGGCTACAGACCCCCTAAAACTACACACATGATCTTGGAGTTAGGATGATGTCACATTAGAGAGTTACTATTTATCAAGCTAGATGGAGAACTGCCCTTGCTTGTGATTCTTCCACTGGAGGACGGCAATCTGCTTTTGAACAAGAGGCAGCAGCTTCAATTGCCATGAGGGATGCATCGCAATTGCAATCAGGATAATCACATAGAAAGTAGGGCGAGATAGCCCGCCAAATGAGAAGTATATGCTACTTTTAACAACCAACCATAGTAGATCACATAATTCATGCTTTCAGAACTTATTTGCAATCCAGTGCTTCTCCCTCGAAGCTATTGCATGAGCCCCCATAAAAATAAGAGGAATCCAGAACCCTCGACCCGACACAAGGGGAGTATGATTGACCATCTAAAAAGAACAAGACAATTATGGATTTATCTTTTATCTAAAGAGTGTTCTAAGACGGGGGTGGAGGAAAAAATAGAAGTGGCAACCAATCATCACGCGCACGCGTACACAGAGCCCATTGCAACATCCCGAGGAGGTCCGTGAGCTTAAGTATTCAGATCAGAGGCTTGTCTCATGACCGTCTTATGTTTCTGCATTAGACTAACAACCACGTAAAACTAGTTGACATTCAAAGCCATAATCGGGAGTGAATGCAAATAAATCATTACTGCTGGGGATACGATAAAAGGAAAAAGAATACTGATAGTTGCAGATGGCAAATCGCTACAGAACAGCTGCAGCACCTACTATCAACAATTCCATTTCATTGGACGACTATCAAATAAGCCAGCGGAAGGTTAAGATCTTTTCCAATCCAGACTAAAGATTAAATAAATTCTCCTAGAAAATCTCTTCAATGATGAACAAAGAGGAAGAAGATCTTCATTCCTCCTCCATCTTTACGTTTGCCACCGAGAACTTAAGTAGGGCACAGATTCAAGGCAACTCGTCACCCCAACTCTATATTAGAGCCGCCCAGATGGGCGCGACGTACTTTAAGCGAGCAAAAGATAGATGTCCAGATTCCTCAAAGAAGAAATAAGAAAAGGAAATGACAGAAAAACCTAGAGCAAGCCTTTGCGAAAGAGAATCTCGGCAGGCACCTAAGGAAGCAACAAGCCAGAATCTTATCATCCCATTACTTGGAAGCACTAATCTTGAAGACTGTGACCTATCCAACAACTGGAGGAGAGCGCGTTTTAATAATAATAATAATAATCATCATCATCATCATCATCCCCATTAATAGCGAAAGCGAAGGTAACATCCAAGACCACATCCAAGACCCATAGGAAAGGAAAGGAAACCAGGAAATATACAAGACATGCTATTAACAACCTAAGCTACTAATTCTGGCGCGAATCTGTCTCAACATTTCATCCGGGTCCTTCCCTGCAAGGGCTATTGCCTTAGCCGCGATCCTGTTGGACAGCCAATGCTCCAATTCTTCGAACTCCATGAAGGCCGCGGCGATGAGAAGCCTGATGGGGCAGCGGCAAGGGTCGATGTACCCGTCTTCCCACTTCCGCAGCTCGTCCGGGGGGACGGTGGCTTTCTTCTCCGGCGTGTGCATCTCGCACCACTCGAGAACCTTCCCCAGCGATTTCGTGTCGGATGCCTCCATCAGGATGACCCCGCCGGCCTCCGCCTCCGCCTGTCGCCGCCTCACCAATGGTATTTGCAAGGCCACGTCCTTGTCGACCAGGAAGACTTGGCCTTGGTAGGACTGGAGCCGATAAACCCTAGCGCTTCCCTCCGTCGTCGTCGTCATCGATCGATCGATGATGCCCACTGGAAAGGCGAGGTCCCAAGGAAAAATCTTTAAGGGAAAATTTTATCAGAGAGAAGGCAAGGCAATAAGAGAGAGAGGAGAGAGAGAGACGGCAATTCTTAAAGGTTACGTTAGGCGAAACTAATTTATCGATGGTTCTGTTTGTTGGTTTCGCAAAAAATATCAGTAATTTGCACTGCTTGAGGAATGAGTCGAAAAGGAAAATGTTTTCCTTTTCAACAAATAACGAAAATATTTTGTTTTGACCTATATCCTTAGGAGATTTACATTGGTAAAATAAGGAAAAAAATCACCCCAAATCCGTGGATCTAGAAATATGAAGCGTGAGCGCTCCGACGAAGCTTATATTTCGAGTCAAAAGTATTTATCCCTCGAAGTCATCACTTTACCTTTAAAAAGAAATTCGGAGGCCGATAAAATTTACTTTTCTCGGGTGCCGTCACCCTCTGAAAATATTTTATGGTTAAGAGGTAAAAATTCGAGATAGAAAAAAAAAAGAGTATTTGCGTTTGGCATTTATAATCAACGTCTCAAATGTTCGTGGAGATCAAAGAGTTGGTGTCTCGATCATTTGGAGGTGAAATTTGACGTGAGCCTGTGCATAATTTAGAAGATCTCTATCCTCATAATTCGAAATCTCCTTAGCTACAAGATCGGAAATATCCAAATTTGAGCATCGTCCATGCATAAGATCTTTGTAAAATTGAGTAATTAATTAAGGATATTCGAAGGAAGAAATAAGCGATCGTGTTCCTTGAAAAAGGAGAAGATTCTCTATGTTTTATACAATAAAAATTATATTGTTGTTAAAATTAGGAGATGCTAAAGGAAAAATCGAAAGCAAAGGTCCCCCAAATAGTTTAGTTACAGCTCAAACCCAAGCCAAGCATAATATGCCTCCATTTGGTAACTTTCGGTACCCAAAATCATTTTCCTAGATTGTAGCCAACTCAACAATCGTTCCGTCCAACCACCGGGGCAGTGGTTGCCCTAGTGGCCATTCTTTCTATTTGGAAAGGGGAGATAGGAAATTTGAATCCCCACCTTCTCAGGGGCCCAAGAGTGGAGACGTGTAGTTTCATATGTGGGTTTCGACTCTCACACGCTGCAAGAGGCAGAGCAAAGGTCTGAAAGTAAGTTGAGAATTAAAATAGGATTGACCGAAAAAAAAAAAAAAAACAATCATCTCCATCCCTTTCTTACCCCAAAATTTTCAAATCAATCCACACCAGATTGAGCGATTCGCCATCTTCTTCTCCTCCTCTTCCTCCTTCTTGCTGAGACGTCTGAACTAGAGAGGAAGGTTTCCTTTTCTTGTGGTTTCCATGGCTGGGTACAAAACAAAGCCGACAACGAGTACGAGTACGACTACCTCTTCAATCTGTTTTCCTTTTGTAGCAGCATCGTAGCGAAGGTCTTCATAAGAGAGATCGGAGAAATAACGGCAGAATGAAGAAGACCTGCCGAGGATAAACGCGTCTTCAGAGGGCCTGTGGCCAGTAAGCGCATGCATGTCAAGAAGAGCCATGGAGATTGGCCCCACTGGAAGGAAAAAAACAATGCAGCATGGAGGGGCGACCAGAAGGACCTCAAACTGGCGGGCATGTTGTAATTAACGTGCAGGGGCACGCAGCAGAGCTCGAGAGCCTGATCGATGTGAGATCTCTTCCAAGTTGGAGCCCATATGCTGTTCCAAACGACGCTACCAAAGGAAAAACCTATCGTCGAACACCGGAAAACCTTGGAATCCACCCGATCGTGATCAATCAGGGGACCTTGCTGCAATATGCCGTGAAAAGCACTCGCTGGAGCATGAAGGAGGAGGAAGAGTTTTGAAGTTGGGACCGAGAATGACATCGTCTTCCATAAAGGCAATCGATATCGTATTTTTGAAGCGAAAGTATGACGCCTAGCGAATGAGCTTGTTGGAAGATCTGGTTCGAGACGCCATTAGAGAGAGAGAGAGAAAGAGATGGTTGTTGCCGGATCATCCGCCACGCTATTACCCCTTGATAACTTCTCGTCATCCCCTGACTAAGTTCCCGCTTGTCCAAGCCGCCATCAATTAAGCGGACAGGGCTCTGCTCTAGCTGTTTTGGCATGAAATAAGGCCCAATTCCCTAAAATCCCCAATTTTAACCTTTGTCCCAATTATATCCCAAACTTTTTTTGTCTCATAAAAAACCCCAAACTTTTACTTTTGTCCCAAATCTACCCCGTTTACAATTCATCCAATTTTTTAATATTATTTTTATTTTTCGAATTTTTTTCTTTTTCTTTTTCTTTTTTTCTTTTTCTTTTTTTTTCACCTTCAACCTCCGGCCGGTCGCCGGTCCGGCGACCGGCCAGAGGCGAGGGCCGGCGAGGTCGGCCCCGCCGGCCGCTGGCGAGGCTCGGCCTCGCCGTTGCTGGGCGAGGCCGACCTCGCCGGCGGCCGGCGGGGGCGAGCCTCGCCAGATCTGGCGAGGCTCGCCCCCGCCGGCCGCCGGCGAGGCAGACCCTCAGCAGATCTGGCGAGGCTCGGCCCCGCCGGCAGCTGGCGAGGTCGGCCTCGCCCAGCAACGGCGAGGTTCAGCCTCGGCCGACCTCGCCGGCTGCCGGCGGGGCCGATGGCGAGGTCGGCCTCGCCGTTGCTGGGCGAGGCCGACCTCGCCAGCTGCCGGCGGGGCCGAGCCTCGCCAGATCTGGCGAGGCTCGGCCTCGCCCTTGCTGGGCGAGGCCGACCTCGCCGGCAGCCGGCGGGGCCGATGGCGAGGTCGGCCTCGCCGTTGCTGGGAGAGGCCGAGCCTCGCCAGCTGCCGGCAGGGCCGACCTCGCCGGTCCTCGCCTCTGGCCGGTCGCCGGACCGGCGAACGGCCGGAGGTTGACGGCGAAACAAAAAAAAGAAAAGAAAAGAGAAAAGAAAAAAAAATTGTTGTTTTGGCATGAAATAAGTAGGAACCTCCTTTTTTTATCACTCAAAACTTAGGAGCTTCTTTAAACTTGGGGGAGGGGTTTTCTTGGTCTGGCTGAATGATATGGTAGAATGGTCCTAAATTTTCAAAGCACGAAATAGTATATCTCCGAAATGCTTTTGACTTTCTATTGAGTAAGAGGCATGATTACAAGCAATTTTGAAGATAAAGCCTAAACCAGATTGGACAGAAGTGACTAGTTTTCGTACCTGTTCCTCTGCCCCACCAAGGATGCAGAGATTGCAGAGTTTGTGACTGCTCCTTTTATTTCAATTCATTTTCCTAGCCAAACAGAAAGAAAAGAAGACAAGGTCAAAAGGCTATATAGCTCTAAATGGTACATTTGTCAGAGTAAAATCCGACCACAACAAGGTCATTAATTCGAGGATTAGTCTCCAGATTTTTTCGTTTATTGACTCTGGATTTCCGGAAGCAGCAAGACAAGCGAGTATTTATATAGTGGTTTTGTACAAACTTTAGGTATTGCGGGAGCATCATACGTTCCTCTGTTCAAGCAGCTTTATCGTATCTTCTTGGAGCTGCTGCTCGTGAAAATCACGGCCAATGTCTCAAGGCATTTTTTTTTTTTTGGGGGTTAAATTTTGGTGGGGAAGTTCGTTTTTCTCCCTAGAGTTAATCCTCCCTCCTTATTAGGTTTTACGGTTGTGGCTTGAGAGGAAAATCTTGCCTGAATTTATTCTTCGTCAGTACATGGATGACATTGGAGTGTCGAACGATGAAACAACTAATGGATCCTCACACAAACGTCCTTCTCGTGCTGAACGTGCCGTGGACGATCCCATTAGGGAAATGGAAGGCATGATGGTTGATGAACATGGGAGGTCAACGTCCTTCTCGTCTTTCTTATTTTTTGGGATGATTTTTTACCTTGTTTTGTGTCTTCGTACTAAGCTTATGTTCTCTTTAGATAACATGGTCCACACGGATTCTCAAGAAAGCTAGCTAGGCTACGCAAAACAGTGAGAAATCTGATGGTCTGGCATGAGCAATTCGCATGCTTAGGTTCTTGTGGATAATTCTTGATGTTACCCATCTGCATTGGCTCGTTCATGTCAAAGTTCAGCATTCCTGCTTTACTCGTCTTTTGTTATTATATCTGCATTATACTTTGAGACCTGGACATGCAGCATCAGTTCAATTATTTTTTGTTTAATCTCAAGGAAGTTGATCATAGACACTTAGACTGTGGAGATGTTACTTCTCCTGGGTGGGTTTCATTCTTCCTGACTGTGGACAGGAAGTCAGAAAAAGGGGAAACCATCACTTGTTCTGAACTTGTCGTTTCTCATAGATATAAAATGTTGGTTAAGGTGTATGGAGCCTTGCCTCCTGCCTCCTCTGCCTCTTCAGCCTGGCCTAATGCCTATAGTTCGAACTAAATTCTGGACAATGATAAGTTATTTGGTTTGCAGTCTTTTTAATCAGTTTTGTAGTTTCAGTTAGCAGAATTCCATATAACTTTTATTGGAGAAGAGTTATATGTCAACTCGATATGTCCAAACGCAGTCGCTTCTTTACCCACATGTCGCTTATGCTCACGACACAAAAGACAGACCAAAACAAAATGGAATTCTATGTTTTCACCACAGAAGTTCTCTCCCAAATGCGACATCACATACACATCAAATTCTCCCTCCATTACTTAAGTATAACACCATAGCTTCATTCTCCCTCAGATGTCCATCAACAAGGGAACACTAAAAGAGGAAGAAAAACAAGAAGAGAACGAATTAACTTCTATAAATTAAACTCAAGAAGAGGCCAAAAAAAGAAAGGCACAGAGGGAAAAGACAATCTCAAAGCGTTCATAGCTCGAACCAGATATGTTCTCCCTCTGCTTTTATATCATAGAAAAAGCTTTAAAACAATCAAAGAACAAAAAAAGAATAAAGGGTTTCAGTCAACAACGTCTACACTGGCGGAGCACGAGAGCAGCCTGTGGAAGATCCTGAACATGGCAGTCCAAGACGCTTCCCTCACTTTCCTCAACGCCACGCACCTTCTTCTACGACGCCGTTCCTTCCTCTTCTTATCGCCTTCACTTCCTTTTGCTCTGCGGCGACGACTGAAGCACCGGGTCTCGTTGTCTGGCAAGGCGTTCTCCTCTCTGGAAAGCGGGTAGCTCCTTAGGTACATTTGCCTGCAGGAGATGCTGTCCACCACCCTAGCGTGGATCGCGTGGTGATCGATGGTCCTGCCGCCACTGCCGCCTGCACGCCTGTTGGAGCTCACCGATCTCACGAACTCTGCGTCGGACTCGGGCCACTTGTAGAGGTTCACATAGGTGGCCCGGACCGGAGCCTGCACAGCACGCGCGTCGTTGAGGCAGCTCGATATGCAGACCGAGCTCATGCTTCTTTCTTCCTCGAGTTTTTTGGTAGATGTGTTCTTGTGTGCAGTATCGGTTGATGGGTACTTGTGTTTTCCTCTTTTTCCCTGGGGTCTCTCTGTGAAGTGGTATTAAAATGGAGGAGGCTTAAAGTGCAAGGAAAGATAAGTGGTTCACAGAGAGAGAGAGAGAGAGAAAGAGAGAGAGTGTTTTTTAGTGGGAGATGATCATGTTGTGTGTGTAATGCTGAGAATGATGAAGCATGATTAACACTGAGTCTGTTATCCTCTTTTTAGTTTTATCCTATGCTAGCTGTTTGGTGAAAAGCATTGTTAGGTACCATCGTCCTAGCTAGTCGAATGGTCCAAAACTTATTTACGACTGAACATCACAAGTTTCATTTCTCAATGAGAAATAATTGGATGAAAGAAACGAAATAACAAATTATTATAAATTATTACGGAATCACTCATTCAAGAATTTATGATTTACAATAAATAATTATTCTTGATTTCAAGAAACTTTAATTAAACTTGATTTCGAGCTTCCACTTAGCATCATGTTGAAGTAAGAGTGATGGGTTTGTCCAATGAGCAGTGGTGTATTAGCTTAATCTGCTATCTAAAACTGAACTTTCTGCTGTAAAAGAATTATGCTTTGCCGACATTGGACATTGGCGAGCAAAACGAAAGAATCTTAGATACAATATCGATGCTACAAAAGAATGTTAAAAAACTTTGTGTTCCTTTTGGGATTCATACAATTCTTATTGTTTTTTGTTGTATAATTGGCTTGGCTTAATTACATACTACACGATAATTTCTCCAAGTTAATGTCGAGAAATCGACTTATGTGGTAAGGAGTGGACTGGTGTTTGCAGATTAGACGCACAAATGTTCAATTCCTCACGCAGCTAAGTGCAAACAAATAAGATTTGGGCTTACCCAACCGGATTTTGATTGAGTTTTTTACCTGATTCCTCACGTCGTCAAGTCAAAATTATTATATATTTGGGTCACCCAATTGGGTTTTATTAGTGCGGAGCTTGCCTACCTCACTACAAAAGATCAATCTAGGCTACATTTTTATTTCTACTTTTTTGTCCCTCATCTTCCTACATATTAAAAGAATTGTCAGTGATTTTCGTGGACAAATTTTCCCATTAAATTCCATCTGCCTGCCCTTAATTAAAAAATGGTTTATTATTTAGGGCGAATTTGATGGAAGGTTATTAAACTAAATGCATGCACAAAAAGGTAATTTCTCTCTCGTCCAAATTCACCACCTCTCCCACTTTATTGGCTTTGCTCTTTCCAATTTAGTGTCAATTTGGGGTGCTTTATTACTTTGTCATTTTTTACTTTTGTCAAACCTCACGAGGTACACACTTTGATTTTTTTCTATCTTAAGCACATGACATTTTTATCATATGTAAATATTGACACATAGGTTTATGTGTAAATTTCTAAAATTTGAATCATATTTTAAAATTTGATGAAAAAGCAGAAAATTACAAGCCTTAAATCACAACTAGTGTGTGCCTCACTTTGAGTTAGTGTAAGATAGACACAAGTCTTCCTGCACGCATAGGCCCGCGAGCTATTACTTTTCATTTTCGCACTGTATTATGAATTGGTAATAAAATTCATAACTATAATTGGATGGCGAGATAAGATAAATGCTCGGCATTTTTCTTTATCACTATACGAATTTCTTCCTAGAAACCAAACATTGTATAAACATGTTCATATTCTTTTAGTAACAAAGAAAAAACAAACATTTATCTTAGTCGAAAGTTTATGCATTTTTACTAAAGAACAAAACAAAACAAAGCCACGACTCCAAGACCCACCCAAGGTCCCCCCAGTCCAAGCAGTCAGCACCCTTTATTCCTACCCCTTGCGGTTTTCTTCCTACTTTGGCCTCCATAAACATACCAAGTACCAAATCGGCCAGTCCTCAGCCACAGCTCTCTCTCTCTCTCTCTCTCTCTCACACACACACACAGCTCAAAGGTCGTCTCGGTCGGACCAACTCAGGCAACTCGGCGCCCAACTCCTCGCTGGCTTTTCCTCCTATATGTAACACCATTTTGTTAATCCGACCAAGTAAAACTATCCTTGTCCCACAAACCTGCCTTCCGTATATTCCTCAAAGTATCCTAGCCGTGTCCATTCCTCTACATCAACTAGACCATACACACGTACACTTGCACGCATCAAAGCACAAAGCACACATCAAAACACAAATTATTATCAATGTCAGAACCATGTTTTTGTGCATCCCCAAATTTTAACATGGTATCGGAGTTGGGCACGTTCAAATGGTTCACTATCCTCAACTAAAATCAAAGCCGGAGCCAGAGCCTGAGTGAGGCCAACAAAGCCAGAGCTGGAGTTAGAGTCAGAGCCAAAGTTAGAGAGTGGTTGTTCGGTTGGTATCGGATATTTGTCCTAACCAACCTCTATAAAAAACAAAAAACTCAACAGTGCCGTTGAGTTGATATTAGACGTTTGTCCTGCAACCTCTGTAAAAAAACAGCCAACTATATTTCCAATGTCAAAACTATGGTAAACGTGCCTCACAAAAACTACCCATCTTTACTTTTGATGGGTACAATTATGATTATTGAAACATTTTGATGGCTCAAGACATAAGGGACATTGTTGAAAAAAATATGTAAATTCGAAGGCAAGTGGAAGTATTCAGACAGAGTAACTACTAAAGGATGCAAGGGTTCTTGGAGCGAAGACCGCGGAAAAGGTATGAAGCAAATTACAAGAATTATTTCCAGCAAAGTACGAGATGAGACAAAGCATACTGGGAGAATCACGAAAACGGATCAGGGAGGAGTGTGGATTTATTGATCTATTTTCTAGAATTTCCCAGATTTACTAAACTACAATCTAGAATCCGCTAGATGAAGTGTTTAGTAGCTAGAGATTGTGGCTAGAATTAGAAAACGCCCAGCAGAAGAAAACTAATAAGTCCCATGTCCAAGCCTTCCATTACCTTTCATCTCCAATACAATAATAAAAGTCCTTGTCCTATTGTTGCTCGATAAGTCTACGCACCTACACTTGCACTCACCAAATCACCCACTTACTTACAAAACTAGCCACGCTTCCGCAAACCAACAGACTTGTATTGCCCAAACCCTACCACTGCAACTGAGTTTAATTTAATTCTTTCTTGCTTGCGTGAACCGCATTGTGTGCAGGGAAAATACAAGTAAATATTGATCGAAAGAACTCATTTTTGCCATTGGTGCCTTGGTCGGAGCTGGTGCTTCTGTTGATCGTCTTTATGCCATAATCCAGTATCATTTAAAAGCTAAGCTATAGGATAACGACTTAAATGTGTATGATAAATTCTAAAATACTCCCACCGCGCATGAAATTAGCAGAAAGACGAGAGAGCTATAACATGTGAACTACTTGACGTGCAGTGCAGTTGACAATTAAGGAAAGGGAATGTGGGATTCGAACACAAGATCCCTTGGCTTTGATGGCATACTTAAGCGGATGATGGATGTGATTGCTGATTGCTGCGAAGCTAGGTTATCGGAGAATGATGCTGTATACATTTACTATTGTAGCAATTGGCTTTGATAATCGGCTCTAAATATGATCTGTCCTTCCTGTGGTAGTTAGTGGTCAGCTGCAGATGTCTATGAATATATTGTCTATGATATTTCTTAGGTTTCTTGAAAGGAGAGACTATTCTTACGCTTCAACTCAACCTACCCTCGCTTCAAGCAGTGAAGACAGGATAAGAAAGAAGCACTTCCCAACAGTCTAGCATCTTTCTTTCCGGTCTATCTTCCCCATAATTCAAAGAGAAAAGAAGTAAGATATCTGATCACTGCAGCTGCTCACATTATTAGGCTTGGACGTTTTCTTTATCCCTAAATACAAATGTAAGAATCTCGATTTGTGGTTCAATCGCGGTTTGATGTAGTTGAGGCCTGCATTAAGTTTTGAAGTTGACTTTCTTGGACTTAGGGTTTCCGTAGCTGAAGTTTGTTATCTTGTGCTTGATGTTTAGAGGTCTTGCTTCTTAGTGATGGTTGTTTTCCACTGAACTCGTGGAGTGAAAAGTCAATGGAGAATCATTCCTCTTTGGTGTTCATGGTTTTAATCGTAATGTGAATGCTGCAGCTTTTTTGTCAAAGAAAGGATTGGCTATGGCCTTGACTGGCTGAGCATGAAGTTGGTCGCATCGGGTACTTAGTTGCTTTCTATGTTGGAGTTCATCTTTATCTTCAAGTTGCGTGCATTAGCTGTGTAGGGCAGTTGTGTAGGACATTGGAGCTTTAGAGATGACTTCCGCGGATTTCGACAATAGATTATAGAGTTACTCATTTGAATGTTCTCTTTGTTTGGTTTCTGCTCTGCCCTGACATAGCCACTATGTGGAGAACAAGATGTCACTTCTATTCGTTACGATTAAGAAAGTGAAATTAAAAAAATTTTCTCTAGGACATTCTCCCATCAGAATTTTGGTTTGATTTGCACTTAGACGAGTTCTTAGTTGGTATAACCAATATCAGGCTGTGACATTGCCAAGTGCCGACGTACACATATTAAGGAACAGGAATCATCTATTTGTGAATTACCATCTGATGACTAAACTTCATTAACACAACATAATTGTCGTAGTACCACTGTTAACACACTTTTTGCCAACGGAGGCAATCTTTAGTGTCTTGTTTTGGTTTAGTTTGCGTTCTGTTGAGTATGGAATGAGATTACTTTGATTGAGTTTAATTGGAAGACAGTCTGTTTATATTTCTCTTCCATTATTGTATCGCTGGTTTTTATTAAATTTTTTTGTTGTGTATGCATTTTGCAATGTAACCAGCTCCAAGCCACTTCTCTTCTCAACCATGGTGCTTGGCCAGCATTCGGTGAAAGAAACATTGTACAGACATTTCGAGTGTCAAAGAAAATGCGAGCTGTGAAGAAAATCGTGCGAGTTATCAATCTTCCATCCTTAATTATCATCCGGATAAATTGCAGAGGAGTTCTGAGATTGGTTATGCTGACAGGAGCAATGCAGATAAGTTTCAGATGATACAAAAAGCTCGGGAGGTCCTCGGTGAGGCCTAGTTGGGAAGCCTTCATGATAGTGAGCTGCAGGCTTCGAGAC